CGAGGAAAAGAGAATCGACGCCTCGGAGGGGAAGAGTCAGCCTAGCAGCACCGAGAAGCGTGACCGGAGCAGGTTTGCAGCCCAACCTCATCCCTGCCCCGGGGGTTTTCACCCCACGGCCTCATCCTTCGGCCCCGACTTCGCTAGAGGGAGCCCCCGGCGCGTGGCAGCTGGTGACACCCGTGACGCACGGGGACGCGGGTTCAGCGGCAGCAGGGGAGGAGGGGGGGGGAATCAGAAGTGATTCTCGTTATGGTTTTTTTTTTCTCGACCTCTGCTCCACAACCGGTTACAAAATGCCTGGGTTTTGGCCCAAGGGGTGAGGAGAATTCTGCAGTCCCCTCGGTGCTGAGCCCCGTGACCGGGGAAGCAGCCGCGTCCCACCACGCTTTTCCATCCCCATCCTTTTCCACTGACGACTACGGGAACAAGCCGGGACCTTCCGGGAGGACAATTCAAAGCTGAACTTCTGGCTCAGAGCAGGGACGCAGCCCGCGACCCCGCCATCCCCCTGCCCGCAGCATCTCCCCCCTTCCCCGCAGAAACACGCGGCGCGGGGATGCTGGAGGTGCCCTGGAGGAGGGACCAGGGCTGTAAAATCTTTCCACGCCCCCCCTCCCCGCCTCAGCTATTTTATAATCCCACCGTGACTCGGCTCGACCAGCAGGTCTGATCTCATGTGCTGCTGCTAAGGGAAAGGAAAATAAATTTATAGTGAAGCCTTTTGGAAAGGTTTGCTGGAGGAGTGTGTCAGGGGCTGGATCAGGCTTTGGGGGGGGAAGAGAAATCGGTGTTTCTACACCTCCCGAGCTTCCTCCTTTCGTTGCTACAGAAAAATCAGCTGAGCTTCTTCCCTGGAAAAGTCTGCCCGCAGAGAAACCACTTCCCCCAGGAGCATGGGCAGGGCCAGGTCGTGGAGCCGCGCGAGGCCGTGCTTGCCCTTGTGCCTCCAGGAGCACAAAAGCCCCAAACTCTGGGTGTTTGGGGCAGGATGGAGCCCGGTGCTCCCCGTGTCGGTCCTGGCAGAACGACGGGGCACGCTGTGATGTCCAGACACCGCAGCCGGCCCCACGGCTGCGAGGGGACCTCAGATGCTCCACGTGGGGAAGAGCTCAAGCTAAAATGCAACCCTTGCCATTGCAGGGGAGCGATGAGCCGCGATGCTGCAGACCCCCCCGGCTCCCAGGCGACGGTCGGAGGAGGCAGAGGCGGTGACGAGGTGGCTCGTCCCCCCGGGTGGGTCTGTGCCCCTCCTCTCCCCCCACAGCCAGGGTGTTGTGAAAGAGAGGAGATGTTTTCAGGGCTTCGGCGACGTTGGTGCTTTGGTGTTGAGCAACGCCGCCGGTCGCTGTGCTAATGTGTCCCGTCACGCGTCCCCCCGCGGCACAGCGGCCCCCCGCTCCCTTGCCAGGGTAGAGAAACCGGGGCTATTTTAAAACCCAACATCCCCAGCTGGTTCAGCGCTCTTCCTCCACCTGAATTTCGGTATGATGCCGGCGTCGGGCTACTTCCCACAATAATCTGAATTAGGGAAGCAGCCGCTTCTTTGAACTTGCCATTTGGCTGTCCCGTCTGGGGGGGGTTGAGTCTTGGGGGGACGGACACATG